ACCCAGGCATGACACAGCAGTCATGGAGAGCTGATGAGATGGGAACCCACACAACATTACTTTTATGGTGCAATATGGCTCTCGTCTCTGTTTACAGGGAAAACAAACAATTAAGTGTTATTTGTGGAGGGGAAAAAAGTCCACAGAGAGGAACAAGCTGCACTAAAAAAGAAGTGCAAGATTCCTCATAGAAAATCAGGTTCTCTATGGAAATATTCCTGCTGGCACTTTCGGGATGGGGTCTACCCAGAGGGTTTGGCACTGCTTTCCTTGACATCTTCCAGGCTATTTTTGGCCCCAAAAGTCTCAGAATTACTTCTAGAGAAATCTTGAACTCCAAGTTCTAAGTTCTAGACTTTTAGCTTTTTGCAGATCTTCTTCTTTTATGCTGTTTTGCTTACTTCTAGTCAAAGTTTTGATCATTCAAGAACTTTCTTTGTCCAAAAAAAATCCTTGTCCCTAAAGTATTCAGAACCCTGGAAATCCTATTAATTATTCAAAAGGAAGGTTAGCTGAATTAATTCAATTTCTTCTACTCAACATGAATAAGAAAAGTTTGACTGCATTTCTTTTTCTCTTATGTGAAGTGTGTTCCGTGGTACTACATAGCCTATTAAAAATATATCTCGCCTTTTAATCAGCATGAGCTAAACAAAGATAAGCCTGCAGAAAAGGACTTTGAAAAGCAGTTTAAGTAGCAGAGGAATTATGTGCAAGTCTGTAGAGTATATTTATGGGTATAAAACATTATATAAAAATTTAATTGGTACCCATGAAAGGCACCAGCAGCTGGATTGAGAGAGTTCTCCATGGAACATTTCAGCAAGGCAGCAGCAGAACAAATGTCTGCTTTTCCAGTACATTGAAAGTCTGTCTTGGAGCACCACTGCTGAATGGGCATGCCTACTTAGCCCTTCACTTCTCTGATGTGGCCAAGCAAGGTAGGTCAGGAAAAAGGACCGATGAAAATCCTGGTCAAATTCCTCAAAATAAAGATTAAAGGCTTTGTGTTTTCAAAGGAAGCCAAAGAATGCAAATCAAGCCAGTTTGGGATTAGGGTTCACGTATTTAAAACAGGACTTTAAGAAATGACCACCTCTCACGCTGCATTGCAGTACATCTGCATGTCAGCACACACTGTAGCTGTGATGGGTCTGGCATCTAGCAGATCATCTAGTGCGTTACAACAGCTGGATGATCCCAGGAGTCCTGGGGAAAATCCAGAGGCTACTGGGACATGTCAATGTAAACCTAGCTTCCTGGTAGGAAGAAATCTGGTAGCTACCTTATAGGAAAGCAGAGTTCTGTACACAGCTACATGGGCTTGCATTAACAGCACCTCTTTTCCTCTTTTTCTCACTCTTCACTGGGTTTCAAGCTCCTCGTGCAACACCACTGCTCATTTTGACACTGTACATCACCGCCATCTGATATGGTGGGTGTGCAGCATAGATTTCTCTGCTACTGGAGTACTAGCTGAACCATGAGCTTTTTTCAGCTAGTTGTTATTGCTTTTTATTGTAGATCTGGGCTGGATCTGAAACAGTGCCTTAGCAATGAAAGGCTTCCCAGGAGATATGGGTATATCTCATTAACAAAATTACTTTTTTTCCAGGAGTGGTTTTTGTGTAAACATAAAGCCCTTCATTTACAATGAGAGCATTTCAGCAGCCATCTCTTCTTTCTATTTTAATGAAATCTGCCAAGAATATGTATTCTTTTGTTGTATTCACATGGAAAGGAGCAAGACCCTTCAGAAGCTGCCTTGATGAGATGTATGTTTCAGGCAAAGATAAGTACAACTGCAACTGTAATCTGGGTGTGGCTTTTTGTTTAGCTCTTTTCCTATTGTTTAGCTTCTTTCCCATTATTTGGCTAGATTAACCCTATCCCTATTAAATCAGAGTCTTACTGGGCCATGATATTGTGTGGCTCATGTCACAGAAAAAAGTGGAGGAGAGGTATTTCATAGGATCAGGTTGGAGCACACACAGCTCTGTGCCACCCAGCACAGTTGGCACAGACCACCTGTCACCCCACTAGCAGCTTCAGTTGTTCTTTACATCCGAACAGGAGATGAGCAGTATTTAATGTAGTTTTGTTGTCTCTATATTATTTTTTTTTTGCAGTTAAGAAACCAGAAAGAGAGAAAAAGAGGAAGGACTCCCGGAAATTCAGTTAGGAAAACAATGGCATATTTATGACAAATCTTTCAGACAAATGGCTTTTGGAGAGAGACTTAAATAACCTTGACTTGTTTTCACAAAATGAGCAAGTTTGGGAGATTCTTAACAAGTCTTGAAATAAGAACGTAGGAACTGACTGGATAAGGCAGAAGAGAGGGGATGTGCAGCATTTTACCCCTCTGTTCTGTGGAAATCATGTAGGGAATTTTAACAGAGTCTGTAGGACCTGCCCAATTCACAGAAATGGGCTGTAAGATGAGGATCAGCTGGAACAACCCTGGGTATACAACCCAGTGCAACAGGTCAGACCAGAGCACCAGCAGGCCCATGACCACCTGATGGCCACCTGATGGTCTGGTAGACTGCAGAGCCATGGGGGATGCTTCTTCACTATCAAAGGTACATTAAATCCCTGAAAACCGGTGTGAATCAGGACCCAGAAGCTTACCTGTTTTTCCTGGGAGATATTTTGTTGCTCTGCTTTTGCTAAGTTAAATTCACATAACTCAATCTCAGCTTTCCACCCCAGTAATAATCCAATGCAGAAGTAGACTTGTTAGGACTCCCTTGGTGACGGGTTTAGAAGAGAGGAGGAGGAGCAAAAAACACTGTGCAAAGCCTTGGTGCAACAAAGAAAATGTTAGTCAACAGCACCTAGATCAAGTGCCAGCCTGCATCCAAGGAACACTGAATGAGTGGTCACCCAGCTGTGACAGAGAACTTCCCGTTGAACATCACTGTCTTGGGAACAGAGGCATACCAATGTCCAGCTTACATGCCATGTTTCCTGTCATATTTTTGTTGTACGATCACACTTGTAACATAACTTGGGAAAGCAATTTACGAAGCAGCTCACACTAAAAACCCGCAGATGAAGAAATGAGTTACGAGGTTAAGAAGGAGACATTTAACACTGTCCATCCAGTGCCAGAGCTGATGCCAGACTGCAGCACCAGACTGGGGTCCCCTCAGAGCTCATTTCTCTGAGCTCTCTTACCTGCCCCTGGATGCAATGACAGCGTATTTGCATGCTGCCTCCACTCCAGTGAGACTCACCTTCAGGAAAAGGATAGCAGCTAATTATAAGCAAGCTCTCTGATGATCGGTTCATTTGCAATTCCTTGTGAGTGAGGTTTTGGGGTTGTTTTAACACAAGGCATAAAACCAGACGTTCCAACAAGCCGAATCAAGAGAGATGTGCAAATGGAAAGATGAGCATTTGTCCTTGACGGAGGGCATTTAGCATACGTAGAAACATGACCATTTTTAAAATTAATTAATCCCCTTAAGGAATTGTGAGTGATGGATTAGAGACCTTAACTGGGGAAGCAGTCTGTGACACCGCGTGTACTGGAGGAGGCACCGAGGAAGGACGTGGGTTTGCGGTCTCATGTGCCTACGTAAAGACATCAGTCCTTAAGAGTGGATCATCTTTATTGGCTGGAGAAGGAGGCTCCGGTGGACCCTTGGAGCCAGGCGCAGGCGGAGGAGGATCTGCAGCACCTACTGCTCTCCAGCCAGCCCGGGGAGCAGCCAAGTGAGAAGAGGAGGGGAAAAGCTTAACGTAGCATCGCTGGGGAGGCATAGAGCATGCAGTGAAATTTTCAAAATGTATTCTTGACTCAGAGAAATGTCTAGATGAGCAGGGTAGCAGAGGATGTGTAAATTTCTTATTTTAATAGAAAAGAACAGCAGGGCATTGCTTCCTTACTAAATCTGCCTGTTAGTTTTTGAGTCTAAGTCATCTCTATGTTAGCATGCAACGTGTTCTGTGAAGTAATGAGATTTCTTTGAGTTTCTACTGTATTCAATTTCTCTACACATCAAATATTTAATAAGAATTAGCATCCAGCCATCCTCCCTCCTCCCTTCCACAATAATATTAACTTCTACTGAGACACCAATGTTTTGCAATTCACACTGCAGCTTTGAAGGGTAAGTGGAAAAGCCCTGTATATTTTTCCAAGGGATTTGCTGTGGCCCTCTGCAAGCACACAGTAATTAAGAAAAGGAATGACCAAGAGGGAAGACACAGTAAACTGAAGGTGTGAAAAGAGAACTCTCATTAGTCTTCGTGTCAATTACAGTATCTAAGGAACAATTTCATAGCAGCAGCATATTTATTTGATGTGGCACAGATATCTGGGCTCACTGTTATGGATGGCATTTGCTCTTAACGCTTAAAGTACCTCTTTAACGAAATGGCACTCCATAAAAATTTAGTGTGTTCCTACTGTAATTAAAAAGCCCTAGTCATTTTTGCATTTATGATATAAACTATAATAGCTGTAAAATCCCGCAATTAATTTGTGCCAACATTTCATACTTGAGAAATTCTCATTACAAATTTCATTACTTATTCACTTATCTGTAATTTGTCCTATATAACCTAAAGAATATTAACAAATTTAGAGTCACTTTTGCTCTATTAAAAACTAAATAGAAAAGCCTTTCACCTAGCAAGCCAATCGTGATAACATTCTCAAACCTGCTCCAAAATGGTGTGGAGCTATGTTCAGGCTATACAAAAAGTGATAATCATTATGAAGCACACATAAATGACATGCAGAGCCCTTTTGGTGTGATGTATCCTGAACTAATCCACTGCACCCTCGTTAGTTTAAAAGCATTACAAGGGCTGAGTGCCTTACGCCGTGGCTGTGACTATGCTACACAGCCATCCAAGGGCACGACTGGCAATAAAGCAAGAAGAAGAAAGGTGTCTATCCAGCCAAGAGTGACTATGCAGAGACTGAAAGACAGGGATTTCTGTTCCCCCTTCCCTCTGCAGTTTTCCTCCCAGACATCATTTACCTTCAGGACTTCTGCAGGATTTGGAGGGCTGTAAAATCTTAAAAAACAACTGTGGTTTCCTCCGGTTTTCCTCCACATAATTGGTAACACCACCTGAAAAAGATGAAGAAAAGGGCTGAGGGGATGAGCAGAGGAGCTTTGGTTATGCTGTAGTGTCTCCCAGATTCTGCTTCCTGACGGTGTGACAGCAAAAACTCCCAATTGCTTTTTATGTTTTCAACGTATATTCTTCTCTGTCGTCTCCTCTGGGATCACTGCTCTGACCAAAAAGATGCCAGAACACTGCTGAAAACATCTTCATTAAACAAAGGCACCATCTTCAAGATCACTAATGACCACTTGCTCCATCCAAGTCCTGCCCAACCCCAAAACAGCTTTCCCAAAAATGTCCATCATGAATTTCCATCCTCCCTGTTTGTTTAAATTCACTCTTACTTAAAAGAGGCTGCTTCAGCTGCTTCACTCCTTCCCCTGTTCTTGGCCATGTATTTGCAGGATGGCACCTCTCACCTCACTATTAATGGGACACTCCTGCCAAATCTTGAATATGATGGTAAAAAGGAATGACAGCAGAAGCCAGGAAAAAAAAAAAGGAAAAAAAAAAAAAAAAGTAGCCAGATAAGTCAGAAATTCAGCTTGGCCAGAAAAAAAAAAAATAATAAAAAAAAAATCTTGCTTATAGCACAAATTCTAGAATGAAAATCCACCACTTGTAATCCATTCACAGTAACACAAGCTTTGTCCATGCCCTGAGTATTTTCTGATATGCAACGAAGGAATAAATTAAGCTCTCCAAAAGCATGGGTAGAAATAAGAGAAATAAGAGAAACCATACTGGGATAGCATCAGCTTCATTTAACTGAGAACTCATGAACTTTATCTAACTTTATATCTTGACTTTGCAAACATTGTTAAAACTATTACTAAACAACACCCAAACTAGAAGTATTATGGAAAAAAAGGCCTGAAAATAAGCATTTTCACCTCCCCTCAGCAGAACAAAGCCCAAACACACTGCACTAGGGCAGCATCACTCCATTTCCACAAAACTATATTCACAATGAAGAGAGACTCAAATATACGTCTATATGTATATACTGTACATACATGTATGTATTTCCCCCGTCCCAACAATACATAAGGTTATATCAGCATTTTATTAGCATTGATACCACTTTCATTTTATCTTCAATCTGTAATGAACTTCTTCAAAATTTAACGGAGACAGGAAATGACTGTTCTAGCATAAATCATCCTGCTTCTGAAAATGGCAGCTTTAACACAATCAACAATACAACTCATACATGAAATAAATTGGCATACTTATTGGTTTTGTGTGCTCCATCTTTCATGGAATACTATGGTGTAAATTGAAATTTTATGTGATTTAATAAACTTATATGATAGCCACGTACCCCCCTAACTGTAGCAGACTGTACTCCTCTCTTAATCAGGGCTTTTGGTGCATGCAGGGTTCTCTTTCATTACTGAAACGTTGGCTTACAACATACCAAACACTATTAAAGTACCTTCAGAAAAATACATTTACAGCACCACAATCCTTCAAACATATGGGCCTTAATTCTGGAGGATAGTTGTTGTAAAGTGGAATATAGGATCTACCTTTTTTTTCCCATTTTTTTTTCCCACTGTGAATCAACTTTGCAAGAAAGTTATCCAGCAGAATTTCCATTGTGATGCATAATAAAGCAGCAGCAACAAACAAATAATGCACCTACAGACATATGTGAGGGTTTCTATCAAGCTGACAGACATTAAAATGGAATAACAGAAAAAAAAATGAGGAGAGAGAAGGGTTTATTTGGCCTCCAAATCTCTGGTTAGTTCTGCAGAGATAATACCTAAGATTTAAAGTTTCTTTGTGGTTTTGGTGCACCAGAGGCGGTATAAGATGCCAGATGCCATCTCTCAAAAAGTTGCTCCTAGAAGAAATGTTCTTCTGCAGAAAGAGCAGTGATGCACAAGGCTGCTGGTTTGATCTAAAAGCCTTCTCCTTCAAACTCATGGCATTGTGTATACCGGCTACAGGGACTGCTCTGCAGCTGTCTTAAGGACAAAGACCATCAGCCCTTTGATGCTGCTATTCCATACGTGATAGGTGCTGCCTCTCTGCTTGCAAAGATTATGGCATCCTTGACATCCTTTCCTGGGAAATTAAAGTGTGTCTCCAGTGATCAATTAGGGTCAGCGTTCACCCTGGTTACCTGAAAGAAAGTATCAATGAAGGAGTGATTCAACCAGGCCAACACATACATTCCTTATGAGCAGCCCTCAAGCATTTGCAAACAAGTCAAGTGAATGAAAGATGTTCGGTTGCTGTTGCTGCGTGGAATGCAGGCAGAGCTATAAACAGAGACTTTTAGAGGGAAGGGAATTGTCACTGCTTTTCGTTCTGTGCTTCTAAGTTTTAAACATGACCTTCAACCTGAGAGTCTTTTAATGTATTCTTGCACTCTGGAGTACAGACCATTGCACCCAAATTCATGCCTGAAATACATTTTCTCTGTTTCCAATATTTTTAGAAATTATGTTTATGGAATATCCTTGGGAGGAATGAACTCTTTATTCATAATACATAAGCTTTACATTTTTAATAACAGAATTAGACCTTCATTGATTTTATAACTATACTATTAGCCAACACACTCTGGTTTCAAATTAATTCGAAATAATTCACACAATGACTTTCTGCAGTCAGAATTGGAGAAGCATAGACTTTGAAGTAGGCAGTCTGTAAAATTAAGTGCTAATTGCAGCTACCTCTAATGAAAGCACAGAACTGTTTCCCAATCCCTTTGCGCGTAGCCTGGATTTCTTCCGAGGCAGCAGGATGGGTAAGCTGTTGGCCACCTTCTCCTAAAAATCTGACTTCGGATTTGGTACAAAAGTCTCTGAATAAACTGCATTTCTCAGCATATTTACCCTTCCATTATTGTATAATGGAAGTAAGTGTGTATAAAAGCATAGTGATGATTCGTGTGTACACCAGCACGGAGTCTATGCTAACTTGTTGGATACTGATGTTGGATTAGCACTTAGTCACTGAGCTGGACCCTAGCAGCATGCAGGGGGATTAATTTCACAAGACACGGTGTCTGCAAATGAAATGTACATCAAGTGAGAAATAAAGTGGAGCTCCTTGTTTTGCCGACGTACTTCACAGTCAGCTTTTTCCTTCACTGAAAATATTTCCATGGTAGATTCAAAGAGACCACCACATGTGTTGGAAGGCAATGAGAGCTGGGCAGTTTCTGAGCGTGGAGGATAAAAGGTTCTCTGTTTTGCAGCCCTGAACGGTCTTCATATGATAAAACCATCAGAAGTGTTACCTAACATTGTTGTCTGCATCGTAATCTGTTTCCCAGTAACACTGGGTCTGAGTAGCAGTAATAGAATTAATTATACTTCATTTTGCTGTCTTTAACAGTATTGACCAAATTTAAGAACAAATGAGAAGCGCTTATCAAGCTTGAAGAAAATAATCCATCAGTGGCACAATTTAAATTCTCTGCAGTTCTCTTATTAATCAAAGTAACACTTACTATCCTATCTCCACTTCCCATTAACAGTCATTAAGCACTGTTGCTGATTGAAGCAATTTCTTTAGGGATCTCAACCTCATTTTTAAGAGAACCTTCTACAGTGGAAAACAATATCATACAGGAACAGCGACTTCACGGGAGGAAGAAGGTTCTTCAATCATGTTCTGACCTTGACATTTCTCCACAGCAGAAGTTCACAAAGTACACAACCAACATGCTCCAAACTTCTGCTGCCTCTCCTCCGGCAGCACCGGTGTCCCTGGATTAAGAAGGGAGGAAAAACGCTGCTTCAGAAGACACCTACAGCCAGCAGGTTAAGTGTCTCTAACAATTGCACCAGCCTGCATTGGTGGCTGTTATTTATAGAGCTTTCTCATACACAGGGAATAAATAAAGAAAAACTAAAAAAAAAAAAAAAAAAGAGAGAGAGAGAGAGAAACCACGAGACAGCTCCTTCTGTCACCTTACTGTCAGTCCTTGGAGAAATCCATGCCATGATAAATTTCAAAAGTTATGCAGTACAGGAAAGATTTCTGGTGTTGACTTTTCCTCCCCAATGGCACATGACTTTTCCTCCCTGTTATAAACAATGGCACAGACTGATAGCTTTTGTTGGAATAAAAGCAGCCCTGTGCAGAGGAAGCCCAGCACATGGATGTTACTCAGAGGAGCAGGAGAGCTGTAAGCAGGGCTGCAATTGCTCCCGGGGCAGCGTGGGCAGCAAAGGCACAGGGCTGGGGTGTTCTTTGTGGGCTTGGCAGTGTCCATCCATGAAGCCAGGCTTTGGTGTGGCACCTGGGGAACCAAGAGCACTTTATTGTGCTGGGGTTCCTGCGATCCTGTGCACCTGCAAGGGTTACCAGCTTTGTAAGCCTTCCTCTTGTGCTGCTGTCCCCTGATTCCGAATTTTCCAGAAAATTTCACTTGTATTGCTTTAGACAGCTGTAGGGAAAAGGTTTCTCTTCCTAAATCAGGAATGATACTGGGAGGTTGGAGAAATCAGAAACCCAGGTTGTGTGAGCAGCAGTGACAATCCTGGCCTGTGATCATGCCATAGGATGCCTCGTGCAAGGCAGATGCCCTCTGCAACACAACGCAGCTCAGCAAGAGGCTTACTTCACAGGCTGAAATGCCTGACTGCATCTCGGCATTTCCAGCTCTCTCAGAGCAGGATGTTTGTTGACTGGCCATTTCTGTCAGGTCCCCATCTACCTCTTGGTTTTCCAAGGCAAACCTTTCTATCTCGTGTCTGCCTGTGCTCGTACTAAGCCTTGTTCACCCCAAACCTCCAACATCCAGAAGCTCAGATCTGAATTTTCTCCAAAGTTTGCCAACATTCACACTGAGTAACTGAGTTCACTTTTATCCCTTCAGGGAAGAAAAATTCATCAGTGTTACTAAATATAGAGACATCGCTGCTGCTTAAGAAGCACTTGACCCGCAAATTGGATGCTGGGGAATATTTTAGGGAAGTGCCATGCATGTCTGCACCAGTCTTATCCTGTCAGTGTCCCAGCTGACTTGATGTCAAAAAACAGGTTACTGGCCTCTTTATATACTGGGTCTGTCCTAGCACGGCTATTTCATAACCACTGCCACAGCCCTCCCACTTCAGGGAAAGAGGGGAAAAAAGATGTGTTTGGCTATGTGCTCTGC